GATAACATGATTCACGATTCAAGTTTCTCACAAATTTATTTTCTGTATAAAAATACAAGCATATCCGTCTAAGAAAGATTTAATGAGAGACGAATCGTAGTTCGGACGAAGGACTCGAAATTCTCTGTTCGTTTCCGGTCGACGTTGAGGACAGTTTCATCTTTCGATGTGTATAGTGTATAGCAAAATTGATTATTAAAAATAGCAAACGGAATCGTTTGGCGCGTTGATCACTGGGCGAAGCCAAAATTTCCTGCGAGGCTCCTGCGTTTAACCACCGATCGATATTCCCCGTTTCCGATAGTAGCTGCCGCGCGTCGCCTGGCTGCTCCTGCTCTGTACCGCGCCCGGCTTACGGTTTCGTCGTTTTCACGGGGTTAAAAAAAAGGGCGACGAGGGATCGCCGCGATTAACCGTCGACGACGATGTCGGAACCGGAACACGGGACGGTACCAGTCTCGTCCCGAAATCGGCCGATATACTAAATACCGGCGAGTTCGAGAGCCAGGCGACGTGTCCGAGAGAGAGTAGCGCGTTGCTATAGAAACCTACCAGCGGGCCGTTGTGGCGTGGGCGGCTGGTGGGTGGCAGGGGTTCTCAAAACACGTCGCGACGCGACGCGTCGGCCTCCGGGCGAGGGTCGACCGCTCGATCGAACGCCCAAAATCTGACGTGAAAGAAGATGAAAGAGCTCGATACCTGTAGTGAGACGCGAAGTGAATGAGGCGTCGACGACGGAAACGGGAAGAATCGTTTGCACACGGTGACGAGATTCTTCTTTATCAATGTCCCACGATTCACGAGTGTGCAGTCGTAGATTCGTTTAGGGGTCGATGATACTTCTCGGGGATAAATCATGGAGGATCGCGGATGAGATATACTGGTAGCGTTAGAGGCCGTTGAACCTTCAAATACAGTGGCCACAAAAAGTATTTCCGCACGTGAAGCTTGTTTATGCATTAATTAGCTGAAGCGTATTAAAATTTGCTTGATACGTGTAGAGAGTCACATTAATTATGTCTTATTTCGGAGGTCTCGTATAAACAGTTCTGCTCGTTCATCGTTCAATTTTCAACTTGGAAGTAGAAGAAGAATTATAAACTGCAAATAAACTGGTCGTACAGAATACGTTCTGATATTATTCTGTCCACTTTATCGGCTCGAACAGCGTTTTAAATCGGAACCGAATAGAAGCTTCGATTTAGTCGTCCCGTGAAAATTCCGGCGAGGTTCGAAAACACCGTCACGTAGTCGGGCGGCTATAAGAAGTAGGACAAAGTAGTCAAACATCCGGTGGAACGGTAGGAGGGTACGTAGTAGAATTTCCCTCGAATTGAATGTCCCTTCGTCATCGGCGCATTTCCTTGCCGGATCGATGCAGTCCCGAGATGAGGCGATAAGAACGGCCGAGGGAAGGCACTTCCGTTCGGAATCCCGGGAAAATCTGTCACGGTTAACAGACGCGCACCGTCTTCGAGATGATCCGTCTCTTTCATCCCTGAAAACTCGACTTATTTGTCCGCCGGATAAGAGTTAGCGTTCACTCGGTCGAACAATCGGATCGGAGCTAGTAAGGGAGTTTCTTCGCCGATTTCCCTGGGAACCCGTTCCCGGGCCAATCTAAATGGTACCGGCGACGGGACGTGCTCGCCCGGTTCACAGGCTCATTGTCAGGGTGGCTTTCGACCCTTCGCCGACTTCCGCGTGTACCGTGATAAAACCGGAGACGTAGATCGGAACCCTGTATTTACGGCTTCGTTTATCCTAAATCGGATCCGCCTTATCTTTTAATAAATACGGCGTTCAGAAAGAACAAAACTTGATCACGTCGTCAATGGTAATTAATAGTTTAATTGGTTTTACCAGCGAGCCTGGAGCACGTTCAGCTTTGTTCGATGAGTTTTATTCGATAAAAATGAACTACATCGCAATTCAGTAGAATACTGAAATAACCTTGTTAAAAAATTGATCGGACTTTCAATTTTGTTTTTACGATATACAGAAAGGGATTGTTTTCCACTCGCATTCGTTTTCCCGTTGCTTTTGTTCTTTCTATTGCCTCACTATTTTTTCTATTCCATTCGGTCGCGAATTTTTGTCGATCCCCTTTCACGTTGCTATGAATCGACGCAGGTTTCTTTACGAGATTAATGCGTGAGTCCTGTGAAATTGGTGTACCTCGATGCATGTCGCCCGCTTTTTCATATTCGCTCCGGATGTAATGGCGATGCAAAATCATGGGGAGGTATAAATTTCGAGTTACGGGAAGTAAACGCGGAAATTCGTTCTCCACTCTGTTTCAATGATGAATTCGTCGAGCCATTTAGAAGATTGAAAGTCTTTCACTTCCCCTGTCCTGCGAAAAATAATATTTCGATTTTTAATATGAAATCGAAGTTAATTTTTATTTCAGAAGTACCTCTTTCGTTTTTATTTGTTCGGAAATAGCGGTGAAATATCCGGTTCAATGAACAAACACTCATAAAATTGTAAATACGCAAAATTTCATATTGATTCAGTCACACTTCTCTATATACGTTCAACAGCATGATAAACAATTGTACAAATGAAAAATCAGACAGATTTGAAAATGTTTGTCCCATGCGCATTTCGTTCTTAATATATGTATTAGATCGAAACGTTGCTGGAACTTGGATGATGGCAGTAGAGCGAAGTCTAATAAGGACGGATACGTGTTCTTGTTGGTGATCCTATCAATCAGGTTTCTGTACGGGACGTCTCATTACGAGTTTAGACGGCACGGGCTGCAACAGCTTTGTGCACGTTTACATGCGTGTCACTGGGCTAATATGGGTTAATCAGCGCATCCATTGCACCCCAGGCCCTGCTTCCCTATTGCCTCGAACCGTCTGCTGCCTATCTCACGTTTACCACTTGACATTCGCGAAATACGATTTTCATTTCATTGCCCATAGCGTTCAGAAATTCAACGATTCGTAAATGCTTGTGAACGATCTTCTTCCTCGGACTCCTCGCAATCGATTCGTGCACTAAAATTTGTACAGGGAAACGATATCTCTGAGAGCGTTCTAAAACGGAGTCAAGGGGCACATGAAGCTGTAGCGTCGAGGAAATAGTAATCCTACAGGAAGTTGGCGGTTAACGTGAATAATTCTATCGGTCTCGTCGATCGAGCGTCGCGACCCACCGCGTCGTCGTCGCCGGTGGAAAATCCTTAAAGCGTGAAAGCGGCGACGCTGAACCAGCGTTTCGATGAAGCCACCGAATAATTCAAAGGCAAATGAACCGCTTTCTCTCTCTCGGATTCCCGGCTGTTTTCTACCCAGGGACACGGCCGTACGTATAATCGGACCAGATTTATTTGCTCTCGGGAAATAAGGTCCTTTCGACCGGTGACTTAATAAATTTCGAATCGCCGTTCAACGCGATTAACGAACCTTCTATGAATACGCGTCGATTAATTACCGAAGAATTTCTGATAACGTTTGCTTTAGACAATAGTTTATTACGACATATTATGGTCGTGCCGTTGGCCATTGACCGTTTTCAACGAACGTGTCGAGCATCGTAACGTAACAATCGCCGTAATAGTTTCGAAACGTGAAATCATGAATTCTTTCATACATTTCGTTCGTTGTTCTTTCGTCAAAACGAGATCTCACCACTCGATACTGTGATATTTATGAATACGTCATATGCACGGTCTAAAAATCTGTTTACACGTTGGGAACATTGTTTCTCTTGGATCAGGGTGTGCCGCGAGCGAGCCTCCGGCCGGGGGTGAATTTATTCGAAAAGTCCCGGGCACGTAAATGCGCCATAAATCCGCGAAAGTGAAGAAAAATGGATGATTCGGTAACTCCCGGCCGGGGTGCGCACCTACTCTCGCGTTTTTATGGCCCCGCGCCGGGATAACTTTCTCGCGTCGGAGTAAAAGCTGTGCCAGCTCGCGTCTTCCGCGTAATAAATAATGATGAACCTCGCTCCTCGAACGTAGGACGCACCCGCGGCGTCGTCCTTTCCTCAGGGAATTATTTATGGTCACCCATGGTCACCCGCGGTCTCGCAACGCTGCGAATAATTCAACGTTTACCCGGTCGAGATTAAAAATTCACCCACCGCCACTATCGATCCGACGCTATATTTCCGGGTCTTAATTAAAATTCGCCCCGCGAAAATGCAAAGTTCCGGTCTTCCGTCGAGTTCCGAGACGTCGGACAGCAAATTATTGAACGATAATTCCTTTAGGGATCGACGAATTCCCGTTGAATCCTTCAACACTGAAACACGTTCGTACTTTTTCTAAAATTTGATCACTCGACTTCGAGTTGCTCGCTTCACCGTGAACTCGTTCGCTCTTTCTCTTGGAATCAGAGCTACTCACGGACGACCGACCCGTTACATATTAACAAAGCTGCAGGCACGCTCGTCGGCGGGACAAATGCGACTCGTATGTGTCATCGTTGCCCGAACGAATTCAAAGAAACGACGAGGACTAGTTCCATTTCACGGAACAGACAATTTCGGTACGGTACGCGGTTTTTCATTCATTAGGATAATTAACGTCACTCCCGGCAAGTGGTTCTATTATACCCACGCGAGAGATTCCCTGGAACTTTCTCTCGTGACACTCGCCTACGCCCAGTTTCGACTCTACCCTGATGCGACCGTCTCGTGGCTTTCAATTTTCGAGAGAGCCCTCCAAATAAATCGAACAACATTCGGAATTGATAATAAGTGAAGTCGGATCAATTGACAAAGTGTAATTGTAAATTAATTTATTGCCCTGAAAAACAGAGGATGACTCACGCACAATAATTATTGTCCCATTAGAATGCAATTACGTGCAGCTCATCGAATTAATCGATGGATTCTTGTACTTCAAGAGACCAATTCATTCCTGTAAATTATCAGGAAAATTCTGCCGTTTACGTGACGAGTCTCTCATTGATTCAGCGTGCACGTTAATTATTCAGCTGACGGTCTGTTGACAGGGGTTTGTCGTTTCATGATTTCAGGAAGATGCGGCCACGGGTCTCCGTGCGAGCAACTCTGCTACGAGCTACACGACGGGATGTACGAGTGCGATTGCAAGGACGGGTACATCCTTCATAAAAATGGATACAGCTGCGCCGGTGAGTTCACTGAGAATACTTGGCGACTTTCCACGTCGCACCGATTTCCCCGTAGACAAATTTGTTTATTCGATATCCAACTTCTCTATCGAATCAAAAGAACTGTTGCCGTTATATGCGTTACGAGAGTTCTTCATTTCGAGCAGACGCTTTTTATTATGCTGAACTCCTCCGTCTCCGTGAAATAACTTCGACTTCTCGGTTAGTCATTCGAGACACAGAGAATTCTATGAATAATTTTCGTCAAATGAGATCTGTATAAATTCTTGATAACGAATCGTGTAATTCTGGGCTAAGCGTCGTATCAGAATTGTCTCGTTCTTCTCGATACGAGTTCATCCATGAACACACGCGGGGTGTCGCCTAAGGAAATTTTCTTGTCGGAAACGGTTACTTTTCCGAGCGACACGTAATCAACGTGACACGTCTCAGATGCAGCATATTGCGCGAAGCGTAAATGAAAGATCGCGTCACTGAGAAAAAATTTGACTGACATATCTTTTCATGATCATGTCCTTCGTGCCAACTGGCACGTTGGAATGAATGCATCTCTCATTTTTGTTTAGAGACGCTTTCCGAAACGAATAAATTTCTGCTGCTACTAAAACTGGAATTATTTTCCGATTAACTGAGACTCTGAAAATTGTAATTACGCTCATCGTCAGTCATGACTCGACGCGTTTATTTTAAGAAAGCGTTGGAAGATACTGCAGAATTTCCTAGTTGAGTTCGATGCGCACCTAACAAGGGACGTCGAGTTTCTCAGGGAGAAAAATATCTCATAAGCGAGCACGAAAAACAACCTCGTTAGTTTCCGACGTACACACGTAGACCGCAAAAACGCGCGCGTGTTGCGCAACTGTACGAACTAGAATATCTCCTTGGCAAAGCCGAGCAAAAATACTCTGCCTCGTGAACGCTCCAGTAAATTTACCGTTCCATTCGACAAGAAAATCGGAAACGAAACTATACGCAGTGCTCTCAAATTTACTCCGTACGATATTTCAGGAAAATTCGATGTGCACAAGTTTTAAATGCCGTCACGTATGAAAGCATTTAAAATACAGGAATCTGAGTTTACAAGTACGTGTTAGTCGGTATCGCGTGAGTGTTTCGTTTTGCATGAAATTTGCAATTTGTAAATCATTGAAAACCGACGAATCTTAAGGATGTATTGGCTATACAATCAATCCCAAAAGTTTATGTACCTTAGAAAAACGGATTTCCTATAATTAAAAAGAAATCAGACGTCGGAAGAGTAATGCTAATAATAAATAGCTACGTGCTAAAAAGTATAGAAGGAAAT